GCATCGGCCCCAAAGCAGAAGTGCGAGATCCTGCTTGCGTCGAAAATAGAGCCATCGTGGGTTCCATGGTAAATCTTGCTCCCGTCAACGTACACATACCAGTCGTTTGTTTCCAGTTGCAGTGTCACTTGGGAGGTTTTGTTGGGTTCCCACTGCTCCAAAGACTCCTCAGACTCGCCGCCATGAGGTTTGGAGAGCCACTTCCGCTCATGGTTGTACGACAGCTCAAAGAGCACAGTCTTGGTTGAGTCATTCATCTTCACCCGCAGCAAAGGGATGGGGCTGTCGTCCTCCCCCGGCACCGCGTGGATCGTCACCGTCGCCGCAAGGGCGAACTTGTTGTTCGCAAAGTAGTACGGCTGGTTCTGCCCCAGTTTCCCCACGGGCCACTCCGCCCCCGCCCCGGCGCCGCTGAACGTCACGCCGTTCGTAAACTTTGTTGTTGCTCCATGAACTGTCGCGCTCACGCAGAGGTACTCGTCCTCCCACTTGCCGCCAGTTGACTTCCCAGACAAAAACCCCACCAGCCCTTCCGTGGGAAGAGGGCCGCTGCACATGCCCCTCTCTTGCGGGTTGAGGCTGCCACTGGGTTTGCAGCTTTGCAAGGCGGTGTCCAATGCAGTCCAGCCTTTCACCAGAGACTTGACGTGCTCCAGCTGCTCCGCCAAGCGCAAAGAGACACAAGACTGTACGACTCCTCCCCCGTCTTCTTCCTCCTTTCGTATACCGAAATCAACTCCCCATCCTTGTCACTCTTGTAGAACAGGGAGCTGGCAGCAGCGTCCTCCTCCGCGGCGGATATCGGCCCCACGTCGTACACGCGTCCCCTGTCCGTCAACCAAAGATGCAGACGACCTTGTGCTTTGCCGTCTTTGCCCTCAGAATACACCGGCGTCGTGAGGAGCATCAGTTTTTTTCCCCCAATGGTGGCAACGACAAACCCGCTTCGCACGCCATTCCCTCTTCGGGCGCGTGAGGTGCCCCACACACGGGAAAGCACCACGTCCTCCTCCACCCACTCCTCTCCCCAGTATCGGGACCTCACCACCCTGTAGAAGCCCTCGTCGCAGGAGGTGACCATGTAGAGGGTCCCGTATTTCCTGTCCCACTCGGCGATGGCGGGGTTGGAGCAGCCGCTCACGGTCGTGCCCCACGAGAGCTCCCACGCTTCTTCGGGCCTTCGCGACTGCAGGACGAGGGAGACCACCGTCCCGTCTGCCTTTCGGGCCTGGACGGGGAAGGTCAACGTCCCGTCGTCCAGCACGACGCCAGTTCCGCCGCTGCCCACCACCTCCACGATTGACCTGTAATAAATCGTTGTGGGGAAGTAGGGCCACAGGGAGTAGGTGTCGGCCCACTGGATTTGACGTGTCTGCGCACTGAGCTTTGCGCTGGAGTCGAAGGCCACCTTTGCCAGCAGCAGGTCCGTGTAGGGGGCACTACTCCCGTTGGCGGGAGCAGGGCCCGCGGCGACGTACTGTCCGAGGAGAAGGTAAACTGTGCTCTCATTCACAATTGTCGTCGGCGGCACGAGACGCGGGACTCCTCCACTCGCGGGCTCAGCCGCCTGCGGAAAGTACGCCGTCAACGCATCATCCATCACTCTTCCGCCCTGCGCCGCTGACGCCCCCTCAGCCGGGATGCCCCCTGCGGCAATGCCAGCAGCAACACCCACAGCGGAGCCTCCCGCGTGCGCCTAGGGCAAAGACCACGCCCCCCATTCACAAGAACAAGTCAAGGGACACGGAACGAACCCGTTGCGCCCTCGGAGTCCGCTTTGGCGCCCAAGCCAATGGTGGCATTCGCAAACGATTGAGGTTTGGGCACCCACTGACGAACTTCACCCTGCGCCTCCTCAGCGCTGGCACTTTCACAGCTGCCGCTGCGTATCAACAGCACGCAGAGGAGGAACAGCACCGCAGAAGAAAACAGGTGCCGGGGCATGTTGAGCCTCCGACTCTCACACTACTTGCGGTGGATCCGTGCAGGCC